AGAGAGAGAGAGAGAGAGAGAGAGAGAGAGAGAGAGAGAGAGAGAGAGAAAGATCATTTTGTTTGTATATAAACTGAAGCTCGGTAATAGCTGTTGGCAAACAAAAGTGGCAAGAACAAATTATGCGCTATGTATTTTCTGGCAAGTCAGTATACATCTCCATAATTTTGTGTGTGTACTTCATATTTAAGCCGATGGCATTTCCATTTTCGCCGTCGAAACAATGTACCGAAATGAGATTTAGTGGATTTGAAATGATGAATAGAATCCTTCGGACGCAGATGGGAGGCTTGCTTTCTCTCGCTACACACACACACACACACACAAAAACAATTCAATTTCGATATCAATGGCAAGAATATAACGCGGCATAAAACACGTTGTTTTCGAAAATGTTTCACGGAAATACAGTAGGCCAGCCAAGCGATCCATCATTGCAGCAAGTAAATTTCCACAACGAAAGAATCAGAAATATTCAATTTGCAGAATGTTCGCTCTCTTGCTCTCGTTCTCTCTCTCCAACTCGCTCATTCTCTTCGAAAACCATAAAGATTTAATGGACACTTCATAAATTCGACATCATAAATTTCCAGTGAATTTACTAACAGTCATAACCACAATGAGCAATTGATGCACATAACAGTGAACAAAACAAAAACAAAAGTATGTTGAGTGAATGAGAGGGAGAGCAGAAGAAAAAATTGCAAATGATTTTTGAGCGCTACGAGAAAAAAAGAGCGATCAACTGATGAATACAATGTTTGGCTTTTTGGTTAGCAGCCAACATGGCGCCCACAGTGCGAGAGTTAGACCTTTCTCTCGGTGCTGCGATTAATTTTTGTGTTGTACGCCGTTTGCCGATGGGATAGCCGGATATTGTACGTGGAATGCATTACATCATCTAATTCAAATGCCCCCTTAAACCGATTTCCATTCCCATGAACAACAGAACAATTTCAACAAAAGCGGCGACGACGGCGGCAGTGACCACGCATCAACTCGTTCGTGTATCTAGCGAGTAGAGCGCTAGTAAACGTTTGTAAATTGAATTTAATGAATTTTATGTCTAAACCATTTACGAACAGAGGCACATCCATACATACATACACACACACATACACTTTCGCGAAGCGCACGAACGAACGATGGACGGACAGGCGACCGAACAACAAGAACGAAAGACATGTGAAAAACTGTGCAAATTGTTCAACCGAAATGCCAATAGCACATATTGCATGATATACGGCCAACCCCGTCGGTTTTTGGACCGTGCACCAGAGCGAAAGAGTGGTTGCAAAATGTACTTCTGTAATGTACATTATTAAATTGATCGTTTTTTTTTCATCCTCTCTGAATGACTTGCATGTGCAAATATGACTGTGTGTGTGTGTCTGTATCTATGTCAGTTTTTCTGGGTTTCAACGTTCGTTTTTTTTCTTCTTCATTCGTTCAATTCTCCGTTGTTTCATTTCATTTCATCAACACAATTTCCAAATATTTCGTTCGGTGTGTGCATTTTGAGCAGTTTACATGCATTTGGAACGAAGATTCACAGCCAAAAAAAAACGGCAGAGCCAAAAAAACGACAAAGAAAATGGACAAAAGGGCGAAATGTAAACAAAAGGCTTCAAACCACAAAAACGAACAAATTGCTCGTGTTTAATGGATAAATGGCCGAAATAATAGCAGGCAAACGATCACTATATAAAGTGAAACAAATGCGAAAATGAAATTTCATTTAATAATATTTTCATTCCCTATCTCCCAGCTGAGTGGCTCGTTCTTTTTTACATTCATTTTCTTTCTCCATTGAGTGGCATCGCATTCGTTCTTAATGAGAGTTGTCCAGTGCAGAGGTAACCTGGCAATCCATGGTTTCCAAAGTTCAAACAAGCGCATTTGTTTATTTTGGAGCGTAAAATAAGCGGAAAATGATTTGGTTGGTTTGAAGCTTCGAATTACGGGAAACGAGAAGATTGAATGCATCGGTGTATAATTAACAAAACGGAAATATTGAACATTCTATAAAGAACATTTTCGTGGAAAAGCTCTAGTAAATACCCATTAAATTTTTTGAATAAAACATGCAGTTCGTGAGTAGTTAGTAAGCACCTGCAGATGAGTGACTTCCCGAAGCTAATGAATGTAACGAAATTTCCGTGAATTGCAATGAAAACTGTGTCAATTCCAATGGAAAATGATGTATTATTAAAATCTCATCGTTGCCCAGCGTGAAACAGCAGCTGGCGCAGCAGCGTCGAGAAATAGTGTGCGTGTGTGTGTGTGCTGATTCAATATTGAATTTAGCGAAACAATTGGATCAGTTTGCCTCCTGTTGAGCGCACATCTTTCTTTTGGAACGAAGCGAAGTTCAGGTAAAAATTCATGTTCGAACGATTTACACATGTCATGCAATTACTGTCGCATTGCAAACCCCCTCCGTCATCGCGTGGCAACCGTAAGAACAAAGGAAATAGCAAACGTCGTGCACACCAAACTTGGAGCAATTTTCACAATTCACACACGGATACAGTTCTAGTGACAGTTTGCCACGCACTTGTTAGTTAGCGACAAACGAGCTGACTTCCGTGCAAACGTATTTTGTCAATGATTCATTGTACTTTGCCAATCGGCAATGAATTTCGTGCATCACAAACATTTATCCATTTCAAGAGGCCGAACATTTTGTGTTGCGTTTTGTTCTGTTTCGTTGTTTTGTTTTTGCATTCTGGCCTTTCTTTTTTATTGGCATTGTCAACATGACCCATTTTCGACAGCGACACATGTAACCTAATGGCTCAACCATGTGAGATAACATAGAAGATCGTTTTCGAGCACTTGAATTTTACTATACAACTTCAGCAATTTGCTGTACAATTTTCTTGTGAATGTCCTCCGAACGGAGCACATCCATTGGCTGGCTGGCTGGCTGGTTGGTTAGCATCAAATGGAAATGGCATCGTCAAAATATGACCAAAAGACATGAAACAAACAGATAAAGCAACAAATAAAAACCTATGTTTAATGCTAGGTTTAATGTCGCATTATAATATGACAGAGTAGTACAATGTTGCTGGTTATGTTTTGCTGATCGAAACGGTTGCCACATTTTTCGAACACACACTTACATTAAACTAGTGCAATCGAATGGATTTTCTCTCTGTGTCTGTAGTTTTCTCTTTTCCTTTCACTCTTTTCCAATTTTGGAGAGAATCGCAATTTTTAAATAAAATCCTCGATGAAAAGTTTTCTGTTGTGCGACGAAGAAGGGCGAAGTTATCAAGAAGTGGAAGAAACGAAGTGCGAAACAGCATTAATGCATTTATAAAGAACGATTTAATATGAACGAACAGATAATTGATTTGGATCGTTCGTATCGATTCCACACACACACACACACACACACACACACACACACACACACACACACATACTGTTCGGAGGGAGAGAAATATAATCAGTTAACGATGAATGCATCCCTCGAAGGGACATTATTCGTAACGACGACTCAAAAGAAATAAAAACGAGCATGCGAATCGATTGATTGCTCGTGTTTTTTTTCCTCTTTCGCAATGTTCGTCGTCGTTGTACGCGTTGCGGGCATCAAATAAAACCAATCATTTGGGGTGTATCAGTGTATCGATAACACGAAAATCGTAACTAAAACGCACTATAGCAGCGTGTAAATATACATCCACGCACACACACATACATACAATTTATGTGTAATAACAGCGTATGTATATCGTTGCCAACTATCATAGTTTCAATTGTTACAAGCGCTTTTGTGCACCATACACATATCGCCGCTGGCTGAATTCACCGTAGTCCACATCTGAAACGTGTCGTTTCACTCAAGCACAGCACTGGAAAGTTGAGTGAAAATGTTGAGTACTTTCCATTTCGTTTTGCTCGTGTATCGCTTCCACGGTGTTCCTGCATTTGTCGCGGATTCATCGTTGGAAAACGAATGAGTGCTCTCGTCTGCGCAATTTAAAAGGAGTGTCAACACACTTTTGTTGTCGCAAAGACCGGCCGTTCAATTGAACGAGGCAAAGTTTGTTTTCCTTTTTTCCGACTTTCTCTCTCTCTCTCTCTCTCTCTCTCTCTCTCTCTTCCAACTTCCATGCAGAGTGAAAACACACATTTTCCAGCCAAGAGAGATGAGCGTCTAGGTTTGCTGCCACCAAATATTCAGTTTATTGTTGCATTTCGACGTGTAATGATGTTCGTTTGGCAGCACAGCATCATCCTTTGCTTACAGAATCGCTAGAAATAACAAAACACTCGCAATTTCTGGCCATTCCGAATTCATTGATGTGTGTTGCTATTACGGTCATTGTTTTTTTTTCCCGTTGCTTTTGTTTTTCGTCGAGTGCTCGCGTATTAATGTCGATTGAGTGTGTGCGTTTTGAAGGCCGAAAGTTAAAAAATAAAACAAGTTTAGGTATAAATTTATGACAGCTGCGAAGTGATGGATTTTTATTTAATCGGTTTTTTTGATGCTTTTTTGTGTGAATCTAACGAGAAAAAAAGGAAACTTTATGCAGATAGCTCGAAATTAAATGCACTCTCAAACTGTGTTAATATTCAATTCAGTTCAGTCATTGAAGTTTTGCCATTTTAAATCGCTAGGTTTCATCGTGGTGCCAAACTTTTCTCCCCTATCTTCTACCAGATCCACTCGCCCCAAATCGTGTCCACTTCTTTGCGCGTTGCTCGTTTCGTTTTGTTCGTGCGTGTTTTTTTTTCTGATGTCTGATGTGGTTTTGAAGTTTCTCCATTCTCGTGTTTTGGCACATTTTTCTACACCACTCCTTTGACACACTCCGCTGCGAAAGTTAAATTGAAGTGTCAGCAAATTAATATTACAAAACGGGTGGCCGAATGGTTTGAGAGGGGAAAAAAAGTCCGACACTTTGTTCGCTTCGAATTGAAATTGCCTCGGAAATCCGTTCCATATGTTCAGTTCAAGTGCTGAGTAATTGTAAAATTCCGTTGTTTGTGCCGTTCGAATGGGATTATTATCGTTGGTGCTGGCGCATGAAACGACACCCAAGAGGACAATTGAACAGAACCAATTGAAATCATGTTTGGAAAACTAAATCGATGCAAAACCTTTCACTCAAACGAAAAGTACTTGGAAAATATGAAATGACCTGAAAAATGGCCCCGTAATCTCCATGTATTTATTCTGATGTAAACGGATTTTTTTTGCTCGTGGTAAACAAATCTGCATTTTAAATGTTATAAACAAGTGAATATAATCATGCAAATTTCTTCCTTTATTGGTTTTTTTTTGAAAAACGGAAAAATTCCATGCACCAGTAGTGATAAGATTACGTGTTACAAAACATTTTCTTTTTTTACATCAAATCCATGGCAATATTGAAAATTCCAGAAAATCGAAAATGCACGCGTGTCATGATCGAAGTGTGAAACTATACTGGCACACCATTCCAATGTGAAAATATGCATCCGTTTCGTGTCAACAATTTAAATTCCAATTTATTTCATGCTTGTGATTATTGGGCGTTTTTGACACAGAAATGTGATTACATTGCATTTATTATTTGTTTTCAACGAAACAAATGTCGAAACGTTCATATTTTCTGGAAATCACACATTCCTTTTGATACGCCAGCCTGATATAGTTCACTCATTCACCACATTCACATTGGAATTTCAATTTTGAATCGTTTCGATATTGGATTTTGGAGAGATGATGCACAAAATTGATGCATTTTGATTCGAAACACCGTATGCACACATGCTATCTGGTCGCACACGTTCTACCTGAACAAGGGAACTTTCAAATCTGAGCCAAGATTAATATACTGTCTAATAGGTTTCTGCGGTTTCACTTATTCATATGTGCCCGAGTGCCTGAGCTGCGATTCCAAAGCGCAAAAATCAAACCTTGGCTGCAACCAATGATATACTATGCACAATGAGAAGTGTTGAGAGAGGGAGAGCTTGAGCCAGAGTAATTTCCGCCAAAAACGTAGAACCATTATTGATGGTTTCACTACGCATCATGATGCTATTTTCCATCGAAAATCCGGCAAATACCATTCGATTTATCATTGCATTAAAAGCTCTCACGCTCTCTTTGTTGAAGTGACTTGTTGAGGAATTCCGAAATTCAAATATTCTCTATGAAACGAAATATATTGGGTTTTTCGTGTCATAATGATGCTGATTATTCACTGTAGCCTCATTACAAATCAGCCCACTTGAACTGGTTCTCTCCCTCACTCTCTCTCTCTCTCTCTCTCTCAGCTTGTTCTGTGTTTCAAGAGTGCTCTCATGAAATTGAACCGAAAGATAAATCGACATTTCACTTTCTGTGCAGGAATCGAATGACCAAAACGAAAGCTCGAAAGGAATTTACAATTTGTTTGGACAGTCGCCAGAATTTCAAAATGAGACTCAAATCGGTGGAAATACAAGCGAAAATCGTTCGTCTCTCTCGAATCGGACAAATGAAATAGGTCATAGAACCTGTTTTAACGATAATTTGGCAAAGAGTGTGAGCCACTTAAAAATCTTTTGTGTCTGTTTTTTCACTCGGCAGAAGTAGGTGGATGGTGGAGAGAATTTTGTTGATGTCAAAAGCATACTTTGCATTCATGAGCGTTCAAACTTCCATCGATCGCTGTTTTATTGTTGACAAAAATCTGCTACGCAATTTGATCCAAATGCCTGTCTCCCACTCACTCCCTCTTGCCCGTTCATTCGCCTTTTATCTCTGCATGAAACATCATTCGATTTAGAAAAATCAATCAATTTTCCGGTTTTGCTACAAAACATACTTCCATTGTGCGGCCAATTCAATGCAAAGATGCTCCTCTTACGTACGCCACGCCAAAACTCATTTTGTAAATAAATTGCGATTTACGATGGTACATTTATTTGCCATTTGTAAGCGATTAGATGTATGGCGCTGTAATGAGAAGATAAACACTTCATCTTAATTACAACACACAATTTGATTTGTAGCGGAACTATAAAAGCTGACAAAATCATTGATGGCATAAGAAAAAAAAATGATGCGTGTCCTTCGCAGTGATTCGGTTCTGTGAGCAATAATAATGTGCTTCTGCTGCTCTTCACAACTAGATAGATGACGACGACGACGGCGATGACTCGAATCACGAAGAGATGTACGGAATTATTTGTAGTAATTTCATTGAAAATTTGCTGCATGTTATAAATTATGATCAATTTCATTAAAACGTTTAGTTAAACGATACGAAGAAGAATAAATCTGGCATGCGAACAGCACAAAACAGCTCAGCACAGCATATCAAGCAGAACAGCCATAGCAATTTCGAGTGGAATGTTGAAAGAGAGAACATAATACTTTGTCAAAATGATTTATGAATATTTGAACCATTAAATGACGCTCGAGGAATCCAGCTCAGCACCAAAGGTCGGTCGTCTGCTGATTCGGCTGCTATACAAGTCGAAACAACTGTAAATGAGTGAACGAATCTTCTTGTGCTCATTTTTCACCAGTTTTATGACATTTCTACTTTTCCGTGATTTTTAATAGTTAATTTTATATCCTCGCCAGACGACAGTGGAGAAGGAAAAAAATCCAGAGATTCACATTGATCCCAACGAGATGCAATAAAAAGAATACGATGTAATCCTTTTCTTGTCGCAACACACTTTTGTGTTACCATATTTTCTTTGGGTATGTGGCATCGCTCCAGTAAAAATGCACGGCGATAAGCATTAACATTCACGGAAGACATTAAAACAGGCGACATAAGACGACGTGTAATCTGAAATTTTAATTTCGAAGCACGTGAGTGCTCCGTTTTCTGAGCTGTGCTCGTTTTTTTTCCTGTTGCTCTTGTTCGTAAACTAACCGACATCGACACGGAAATCCCTCGATGAAACTCAAACTAAAATCCATATGAACGGGCTTTCGAATACGACAGTAGTGCTGCGTGTTACAGGGTTACGGGGCCGATGTTGGTGTTGGTGTTGGAGTGCAATAAAAAACCGAAGCGAAAACTAATATAAATTACGTTGAAACTGCGAAGTCGTTCGAAAAACTTGACACTTTATCTCCATGTTATTATGAATGAATGGAGTGTCTTTCCTGCTTCGAGCGCAATTTTTTGAAACTGTGTGTGTGTGTCTCTATGAAATGAGTTTCTTTCCTCTCACACTCACACATTCCTTTTCTCATTCTTTCTATTGACATTTGTGCTCTTTTGCCATTGTGTATACAAAAGCATAAAACTACTTTGCAAAACCGTGTAATTTAACCAGTATCGTGCATTTCCTGTGTTCGATGCCATCGAAATGATGAATTTCAACAATGTTCTCTCTCTCCCTCTACCTCAACTTCTCCCCCCTCTCCCTCTCTCTCTGTGTGTGTGTGAGAGCTCTTGTTTGCATTCATTTTGCATCGTAGCAAATGCCATTTCACCGTAAGATTAGGTGCCGTTCACTTGATTTTTCACGGTGAAAATAGAGAAGCAAATAATTTGCGATACGTTTCGACGAGCGCTTATGGAAATGAGAGAGTGGAAAATGCTTCTATCAATATCAATACGGAGGTTTTGTTGTTCAAACACTCTCTATCTCGCTCTTGCTGTTCGCTTTTCTGGTTGTGTGACGACGTTCAAGCATTGGATCGCATGGAAACTTTACGAGATTTGAATCCATTGTCAACATTATCGCAAAAAAAAGTCAGTCGAAGGGGGGCAACAGAAGCGAATCGAACCAATCATAAGCTAACATCTCAATTTCCAATTTAAGTCGCATTTTATTTTTTTGACTGTACGACAAAAAAAATTCAATCATTCAATCAGTCAAATTCGAGTACACTTGCTGGTTTGATTGGCAATATTGATGCATGCATCGGCACACACACAGAGAGGTTCCGAACAACGGAATGCACAACATTCGTGAGCTAAAATGTGGAAAAGACTCACTGACAAAAGTAATCGAACCAGTTGGAGTGTGCCTTTCATTAGAGAGCATGTAATCAAAATGAAAATTCATCAACAGCCATGTTTGCTGTTCATGAAATGAAAGGAAAAGGTCAATCGTATTGAGTTCGGATTCAAAATCAAGAGCGCCTATTTTTATGAACAAGGTTTACAAATTTCGTTCGAGGGAGAGAGAGAGAGAGCAAAGTTATAAAATCCAAAGTACTATCTTTCTTCTTTTATGTGCTCTAATAACAGATTTTCAAACAGAATTCGCTCAGAACCTAATCCGATATCCTGCTGCGCGTCGGTTTCTCATTGAAAGATTGTCCTTTTCTTAAATTCGATACACAGCAAAGAGATGAGAAAAAGATCAGATGAATAGATAAAATTGAATTGATTTTTGTTGAAAAATACATCACAGCAGAAACACACGCAAAAAAAACATGAAAAATCGACGACAACAAAATGATAAGCGAAAAATTCGTTACCAGATGATTTGAATGGTTTGGAGCGAAAATGTAATACAGAAAAGTTGAGCGGAAAAATGTCAAATGAAAAGGGATAGCTATATAGTTCACTATAGTTCACTATACAGTGTACTATATGGCTATCCCTTTTCCGCTCATTCATCATCGACATTTTTCCGCTCAACTTTTCTGTATTACATTTTCGCTCCAAACCATTCATTTGAAACTTCTCGATGCGAATAAATGGTCGAAAGTCTCTCTTTTTTCTCGTTCCAATGATTTTAGTAGTTCATTTGTCGTCATCGTTCGTTATGTTCGCTGCAGTAAATTTGATTATTTAATTTCGTTTCGTTGACAAGGATCGACCTTCCATGGGGGTCCTTTGTCAAAGTGGATTTAAAAGATTACATTTCGCTTCTCCATTCCCTATTTTATTGATTTCCAGCATTTTGTGCGTCATCAGCGACACTTCGCTCGGCTAGTTCCAAAAATACCATTCACTTCCGCAATCAACAATTTCGTTTTGGAGGTAACACATACAACGGGAGCGTTACAAATTGAAAAATTGCCGCCGCCACCACTACCATCATCATGCTAGGCTTTGCTCCCATCGATAAAATATTAACATTTATTATTTATTCATCACTCACGACAGTAAAGCGTAAATAATTCAACTTTGTTGAGAAATTATTCAAGCTCGTTACACGTTGAAGATATATTGTTTGGTGCAGAAAATGTTTAACACCCAAAGAAGAAGCAACATCCAAATAAAATTCCGCTCATTTTTCGCGCGACAAATTACCAGCGTATCTTACTAGATGCGATGCTTTCGAGTGACTGGTGACATACACACAAAATACCAGAAATAATTTGCATAATTTATTCGATCTACTTTTTTTTCGCATGACATCTTTTGCTTCCTTTTCAATATGTTGATGCTTCGTTAGCAAACGAAAAAAACTGGCACAATTTTCAATTCGCTCGGCTTCAAGTGGAATGAGCGCTGTGGGAAAAAAAATCCTTTACTTTTTTCCCACATCATCATTATGCCGTATGACAATGATGATGGGAAATTTCAAAATGATAAGCAGTTAATGCGCTTTAATACTCTGTTTTGCTGTGTGTGTGTGTGTGGCAAAATGTAGAACTCAAGTATGCCATCATGCAATATGGGTCAAATTATATGAATGAAACAATAATCCCACCAAAAGCATAACCCCACATAATGACCAATCTTATGAAATAATTAGAACAAAGGGAAATTAGAACATAGTTCGGACTTTTTTCCCATTTAAAGCCACCTGATCCATTTCTGGGGTATTAAAAATAAATGCCCCACATATAATGTTGTCATACATATATATATTTACGAATTTGTGGAGCACAAGTGTAATTTTTACTTGATGTATTGACAGCTTAAGCATTTCAACACTTTGCTCTCACATATTTCCTCTCGAATGAAAATCTCACACTCATCCTTTCGAGAAGGAAGAATGTTTTCGCCTCTTTGCCCATCAAAACAATGTTGTGCGAGAGCATTTCATCAAGAATTCATACATGATTAACGACGGTAATATAGAAAATACGACTTTCATTGATTTATCGAGATCGTTGAGTATTTGGAAGCACATTTTTGGTACCTCAACAGCGGGTATATCCACAGTTCTCTGCAACCTCCTCCCATATCGTTTACAATGTATTAAATATTAAAAGGTAAACTTGGTAAATTGATTAGAAATTTTAGGATCAATTATTCATTGGTGCTACGGAATATTGGCACGTTGCGACTGAACCATCGTGCGTGCGTTTGTACCAAAGGCAAGGCTTTAGATGACGAAGGCGAGTCGATCCGGTCCCAGTCATACACACATTAAGATCGAATCGGAAAAGTGTAATGTTCCGTAAAGATTTAATTTTTCCTCGTAGTTTTCCAATTAAGCTGAAGAGAGAGAGAAGAACAAGAGCTAATTGCACGGAGACAAGAGAAAGTGGTTTCACCTTTAACAATGAATAGTGCTATCGAATGAATTTGCGAACGTTTTGGCTCCATTGGAAATGCTCAAAAGCGAAAAAGCACTTTCAGAAATAAATTCAGGGAAACTTGTTACGGTTGTACAACATTAATATGACTTATCCGGAATGGTTCTGATTACAATACCACCACCACCACCATTACCTACGGAACACGATATTTACGTAAATATCTGAGGATATTGCAAAATTATGCTAAAGGCCACTCCATTCTTAAGAGTCCTTTCGCACAATTTCTTCATCTTGTGAAAAGCAAATTTCAGAAATTGCTCTTGCGTTCATCTACAGGATATGCTTTGAATGTCGTGAGAGATGTTGCTTCATGTTTCTCTGCTTCTCTGTTGCTCTGTTATTCTGTTGCCATGTTGAATTGCAGGCAACATAATTGACAAAACATAGACGAGAGGATTTGAATTTTATGTTCTATATAAGAAGAAGACGAAAAAAAAGCTCAAATACAAACAATAAACCGAGCCTTATTAACTTCCACCATTTGTGTTGGAAACGCTCCCCAAAAAAAACACCAAGATAAGAGTCTAATGAAAATCGCATTTAATTCGAAAGTTCTTTGTAATTTTCTCCCCGAACAGTGCCGAGCAGAGTTTACTTTTCATTACATGAAACAAAAGCAAATTTTTCTATAGATTTTGCGCTCCAGTTACTCTTTGTACGAAATAATTGTGCGCTGTATGTGAGAAAAACGATTATAATTTTTTTCCATTTAACTGTGTGCCAAAATAAAGAAGTTTCGAACACGGGGCATTGTGAGTAATCTTTTTCTACTATAGTTTGCATTCACAACGGATTCGTTTAAACTTTTAATATTAAATAAAAAGAATCGATTGGCAAAAGAACAATAAACGCACGGGTTTTTTTTTTCCTGCAAACAAATTCAAAGAAACGCGAGCGACACCAGTGCGAAAAAATGGCAAAACATTATCCGCATAATTTTAATTAAAATGTTTTTTTTGTTGACTTTTCAAAGCAGAAAATTGAAACGTCACTTGCAATCGAAAAGTTTAAAAGCGTTGTAGCGCTCGCTTGGCAAAACTAAATGTCAATAAAATCATTAAATTATATTCATTGAAACTGAAGTGTAAAAAAAAAGTGTTCGGTTAACCGCATTCTGGTTTTTAATTGAACGTAATCGAGAAGCGCGGGAGTTTGGTCAATCGGGCGCGGTGTGGGTGTCTCGTGTGTGTGTGTATGCGCGCGCGCTTGTGTTTTTGTGCGGTTTAATTGAAAAGGCATCAACATAGGTTGTCCACAGTCGGTACTGTTGTGTTCCAATAAGGAACCTACATCGTCCAAATCATGCACACCATCGAAGTCTGGCATTTGGTCACCAGAGCCCGAACTGCCATTGGAATCGCAGTGGGCTGATGGCATCACCGAAGGCTATTGGAACCAAAGTGAACCATGGGTATGTTTTGAATGTACACATTTTGAATTTATCCGATTCGTTTATTCAGTTGGGTTTTTGGTTTTCTGTTCATTTAAATTCGTTTGAATGAGCCAATTTAATTCTTAGTAAACTATTTGAAATGCTTGGTTAAATAATCAACACAATCAATAGAAGAAGGGGCAATTGTCTAATTGTCTACTCATCTAAATAGTAGCAATTGCTCAACTAGTTTTCAAATTGTTCTTCGTTTGCATTCATTAATTCAGGGAATTTCTAGTTTGCTACCACTTGCATTCATTGAGCAAGAGATGCTTTGACTGAAGAGAATAAGTGCATGGATATACGTTGTCGTCGACAGCGCACAATAGCGTAATACGAGCTGCGTGAGTGACACCAACAAAGCGTTTTACATTCATTCTACATAATAATGAAAATGATAAGAATTGCCATCATCGTCAGAGGCGATACGCTTTTCCTTTGTGTCGTGACACAGCGAGGAACTCTTCTTGTTTTTTTTCATTTGTATAAGATGCGCTGCTCTTCAAAAGTCTTCAAGGAGGGCAACGAAGTGCTGACGCTTTTCTAATGATTATAAATTAACTACAATTTAATTTTACGATTTTCTTGACGTCATGTACCACAACTTATACATTTTTTCATCTCGGCGCCCGTATTTTATGAGCTTTTTCGTTTTCCTCTTTCATCTTTGTAGCAGCAATGAGTTCATTCTATGAAGCGTTGCAGGAAATTGTGGTGTACGCCTTCGGTTTCAGCCGTGAAGTGGTATCCAAATTGGAAAATTCATCATAAAGAAACCGTATAATTTATTTATCATTTATTTGCGATGCTGAAATCCATCCGGTGGTAAACAAAATGAGGCCAAATCGTTATTTTTGAGCCGCAGAGAATCTCATTAAATGAGCGTGGTTTGTTTTTTTTTTTCTTTCGCTCATGTTTCTTCTTTTATTTGTGCGTTTTTGTCTCATATTGCACCGAATGCCACGAATATTTATTTGCGTTGCATCGAAAACGCTTGTAATTCAAGTTATGCCTTATCGCTGCCATTTCGAAACGAGCTAAACAGAATGATGTCGCATTTAATTACATGGCTTACACAGTTGTGTCATCGTCGAGCACTTTGTTTGTTGTCATCGTCTTTTGTTTTTGTTGTTTTTTTTTGTTCTTTCTCTGAATGAACGAAATATAAGCCTTTGACCTTCTGTTCAACGAAACCAAGTGGATAAACGTTTTTAAACCCAAACATGATCCAACTTGCGCTTTTTTTCTACTTTTCGGTCGATGTTTTTTTTCTCTCCTATCTTCCATCAGATTTATGGTTCGTATCGCAAATTTTCATTAGCGCTTTGAGTTGATGATGCACAACGCGGCTGCCAACCGACTGTGCAAAATACTTTTTGACGTTATCACGTATTTCGCGATGCGAAGAAAGTGTTTGTGCTGTGCGAAAGCGTTCAAGAACGAAAATATAGCGGCAGTTATCAATTCATTCAGTCAATTTCGCATTTTATGGCTGGCTTTCAACACGAAATTTATAATTTCCAACGAAACGATGTTGAACTGGGTGCTATTGGCATGCTTTAAGTTTAAAAAAGAAATCCATTGAAACGTGCGTTTCAGCTTATTGACCCGGAAAAAAAGTAGAAGAAGCTGCAAGTCATATTGGCATGTCACATTGGCTGGTGTTAGCTTTTGTATTTTCACATCTCGCAAAACAGCGATGCGAACGCATAATTCATGATTAAATTGCTTTTGTTGGCCATTTATTATATGGAAAATAACTGCTTTATGCTCGAAATAGCGATTGAATGCTGCTCGAGCAACCTCATCTTTCGCAAACACCACAAAACCATTCCACTAAGCCACCACAACGCACGACAAACCGTTTTCATGGAAATCATATTTGTCTTCAATTTTCTTTTCGCCTTTTTTTTCGACCCGCTTTCATTCCTCCGCTTGTTTACGTTTGAATGAAATTTTTTGCAACATATTCAAAAGGAGAATTCAAAAAGTACGCTCACCCTTTGCACTAAATTACACCAAAATCTATTGTACAAAGTGATGCTTTAGCGAAACGAACGATAATTCTTCCACATGACAACATTGAATGAGCATCATTGCTTATTTTTATCTCAATTCATATTGTATTCAGGTTCCTTATGTTTATTTGCTGAAGAAAAAAGCACTCCAAATTGATCACGTTGAACGATGTTTTTTTTAGTCTTTTTTTTCTACAGCCTACATATTCCACGGTAGACAAATTTCCTTCTGAATACGTTCTGATCAGGCGAGCTGAGAAGAAAAAGAAATAATGCCATTCGTTTGAGGAATTGAATTGAGGCAAAATATATAGAAGCGAAGCTAATGTCAATGATTTTGGTGTACCTTCATCAGTCGGCGTGTGTGAGTGTGTTGTCAAGCTAAAAATGGCAATACCGCGAAAAAGCAAGTAAACTGGATCTCGCGCCAAATTTCAATGAACGAAGGCCGACTTAAAAAAAATTCATAAAATCTGTACACGTGCCGTTGTATTCTCACCGTTACGACATCGTTTATATCCGTTTCTGTTTATATGCTGCTTGACTTTTTTTCCTTTCTTTATTTGCTCCATCTGCATTCTATCGTGCGCCCGTTTGTTAGCGCTCAAACACACATGCTATTTTTGGTATATTCGTTACATTTACATTATTTTTTATCGAGTCAATTGATGTGCTCTTGATTTTTCGTAACGGTTTTCTTCTTCTTCTTCTTATTCTTTTTTTTTTGGTTCGGTGCCCGTCGTTGTCGTTTCTTTGGGAACAATTCCCAAAGCGATACGTAAAGCTTATTGCCTCACATGCTTTGTGCGGAGAGCTAAATCGCATCATGCAAGGTTCGTGTGTCGAACGCGAAGAAAAAAATTCGCTTGGATTTCGAAAGGGAAAAAAGCTCTTTTACATCTCTTGCTCTTCATTGATGGCATTATTGTGTTGTGTATTTTCCATTGACTCGATGAATTCCCAGAAATTTGGCAAAATACTCAAAGCCAACATCAAGTTGTTGTGTTCTCTCATTTTGACTATATAATAGAGAAAAAGCTAAGCGCACAAACATCACCTCATTGTACAAAGTGGTATGAGCTTACACGGCACTCAATGTATCATCATCATCATCATTGCCGTCGCACATAAGGAATGTAGTATGGGAAGGATGAAACAAGCGCGCCCATACCTTGTAATATATATATAATCGAATAAAAAAAGGGATACAAACAAAAGAGCCGAACATGCGAAAGCATGACAAATTCCCAGGCAGAAGAGAGCGCATGAATCGAACGGAAAACACATATCAGTCCATTATGAGAAGCGGAAAACTGTAAAAAAATAGAAAAAAAAATCCCGTCTCACACAATTCATGCCCCCCCCTTCCTCACACGCTTTCCCACTTTCTATCTTTGACTACGCATAACGTGACGTTGCTATCTCTGCCAATTCAAATTGCTCCCAGAGAACAAAGCCACCGAACTGATTTCAAAACTTCGTTACGTGTATTGTGTTGCCAGAGATAAATCCGTCGTCCTTGATTCAATATTTTTGTCTTTCAGTCGTGTGTTATGATTTTACTCTATGTTTCGATACACAAATATACACATATATTCATTCGTTCATAGTGCTTCATGCATGGGAGGTGCGAGCGAGCGAGAGTTGAAGACGCTTCCGCCGTGCAATGTTCGTTACTAAGTTTTCAACTCGTATCTCTTCCGATTGCAAGCATGCGATTCAAATCACGTGCTTTTGAGAGCATTTCTTTATATTTAATGTTCACCTCCGTCGGCATGGGCTGTGCACCGATTCATTTTATTTATTCTCAATTCCTTCGCCCATATATTTTACGTTCCGTGGAATTTGTTTTTGATGTCATGTTATGCTTCTCGCTTCGCCTTCTCCTCAGTTGGTTGGTGTGTTTGTTTCTTTCCCTCAACTTTTCTACAACATCAAAAGAACACCATTTCTCTGTTGTCGTTGGTGTGGTTTCGAAATAGAACGTTGATATCTGTTGATTTTCTACATTTATCGTTCAAATGGAAAATAATTGTGTAGTCTCAAGCAAAACTCGACGGCAGCAAATTCAAAACGGATGCATAGCGAAGAAACATAACACAAAAAGCCAAGTGAGGACGAACGCTATTCATTTGAAAGCCAACCGGGGTCTTTTTCGTACGAAGTTCTCTCGTTTATGCTGCATTAAGTCATTTCCAAGCAACTCGACCGAATGCGCGTCGTCGGCAGCAACTGAAACGAAAAAGCGACACACGAAAACAAATGGACAACGACGAAAATGGTTTTCTTTGCTTGTCATTCCTCCGATTTTAACTTGTCTCCTTGCTTTTCTCTCTCTCTCTCTCTCTCTCTCTCTCTCTCTCTCTCTCTCTCTCGTTGTAGTCGCAGTTTTTCTGAGAATACTTTCATGCCAACGCATTTTACGGTGACTTATACAAAATTCCAAAATACTCAAGAGTTTGTCGCTTTTGTGCACGATGCACACACCAATTTTCTTTTCCTTGCTCGTGATTCGTTCAAATAAAATTTTTGCTATCGCGAAAGTTTTCTGGTACAATTAAAAACTGTAAAAGAAGAAATGAGAGCGAGTGGAAGGAAAGCGAGAGAGAGGAGCGAGAGAGTTGCAGAGCGGAATTTGTGTGAATGTGACGCTTTTTGCACGACATTTCGACCTCTTTGCGATTCATTTTCAAGTGATCTCAACATTTTAGTCAAATGAGGATTGTGATGTCAGCGTTTTTTCTTCTTTCCAATGCGTACAATGTCTTCGACTTAATGGATATTTTTATGGGTTTGAGTTTAAATCTTTTTTTTTCCCGAGCGTCTTTGATTTATGAGGGTATAAAAAATGTGAAAAAACTACACAACACATACACACACAAAGTCAAGCGCAGCGGCACTGTGTTGCAGCGCCCAGGCAAAATAGATTTAAATGCTTAAACAAGCCCTTTCAATGTCTGCTACAGACGTAGATTTCTCTGTAAATCAACCGTTAAAATGTGATTCGTCATCGCCGAGCCAGTGATAGCATCTTATAAATATTTTCCATTCGGTTGTGTGTGTATTGAGAGAGCCATTCCACTTTGGGATGCTCATAAGCTTATCACAATCAGCATACAGAGATATTTCAGACATTTTAACTCGATACAAAGAAAGAATAATAATATGAACCGAACACATGTCATTGAAATATCTACTTGAGCGTTCATATTTGTAGGTAACATTCCACTTGACTTGACTTGTTTCCGTTGAATTGGAACTTTGTGAAATCGTGCTCCGCTAAATTGGTTTTTGTTCTGCTTTAGCTTACCTTGAGATCGTTGAATATTTAAAGATGGTAAAAATAATAACATTCATCAAGACCTTCTTATTTTGACTTACTGTGAACTCAAACGTAAGTTAAAACAATGATGCAAACTAGCTGTATGTGATATACGTAAAGCATTTATGTCACAACTAACAGCGCCATCTAACATCGTAATGGAATTATTCCAATGGATATTTCTTTTTTTATTAGCGAATATTCACTTAAAAAGTGTAAAAAATAAAAATTGATAGATCAATATGTAGAAACTTTTAATTTGCGTGAGATTAATATTTTAATATTGTAGAGAAAAATTTAAAATTGAAATTATTACTTAGTCACTTCACTTGTGTACAAAAGTTCAAGTTTTAGTGCTTTGGGTAAAGCTATTGAATGAACGTTAGCAACTCCACGTATGTTTACATTCGATGACAGCTGTCAGTGATACATTGAAATATTTACGGGGTTATAACGTAAATGATGTTTCCACTCGCGAACAATATTTATATAGTAATGTTTTCATAAATTAAACAATCCTGTGGCATGATAATAATTCCAGACATGGATTTTAAACTGTTAAAACTACGGTGATGCTGACTGACTCAATAAACCGACTGACTCAGTAAACCACGGTTTTCAATGACGTTTAACAAATGAAGAAATGAATTTTATGGTATTCTATCATTTTTGCAAGTATGCGATGAAAATTGTGTGAAAAAGATGCACAAAATATGTTGTAAGTGCTGTTTGTGGTAATCAAACATGAAAATGTTCGTGATCTAAACAATACCAACGATGAATTTTTCATGCCGCAAAAGAACGGCAACCTAACCTCCAAAGTTTAGCGGCTCTATGATTGCACCGACTCAATCAAAATATTTCATACTGCGCATTTTTTTCTCATTAATTTGAAGAAAATTTTTATTTGACCAAATTATTTTCATGAAACAAACTCATTAAAAATTCAGGTTTATATTTTTATGTAAAACATATTCGAAAAAACCATGGGAGATTTATGCCTTGGGCGTTAGCACTACAAATTCTTCCAATGAATTTCCTTAGTTTCGGTTTAATGAGTCATAGATATGGTTTATCGAGTAAGTCGTTAGTCGCATATCAATAATTGTTGTGAATCCAATAAAAATCAGAATTATAGAAATAAACTGAAATAATCATTGATTTCTTATGAATTTCCTTTTTTACCTTATTAATTGGATACTTATGGTTTGGGCGTTAGCACTACAAATTCTAGCATTGATTCAGGTGTTAGCCTTTAGTCAATGTTCGATGTGAACTCAACAAAAGTCAAAATTACTGAAATAATCATTGGTTTATTATAGCATTTTTTGCTTACTTTTATTTTCAGAAAATCAATGTAAAAATGTTGTTCTTTACGCATAATTATACATAAAATAAAGTCTGCAATTCGAAAATTTGAAATTTCAAAGTACGCGCCATCATCACTGACTTTGACAGCTATGGGATTGAAGTATCTACCGTTTTTGAATTGTATTATTTTTTATTACGAAGTTAAACAAAATTTAGTTCGAGTTTTTCTCAATCAAGGAAAAATGCATATTCTTATGACTCACTAAACCGAATCAGAAATAAAAGTAATTGCAACATTCCAATTTGACGGATGGATCAAGCGTTTCGAACGTCTGAACGTTTGATCGTTTGAACGTTTTTTTTTAATGTTTTGAAGCTTGACCGTAAGCATCATAGCTTTCTTCTAACGATTGTAGATGGCGCTATTCTTGTGCGTGTCACTTAATTTGCCTCATTGGTTAAAACAATACAAAGAAAGAAACGCGATCACACATGAAGCAAATCGAAAACCGGTGCTACAGCCAATTAATTTCACTTGTAATAACACTCATCTTGAGCAAATACTCGAATCAAACCGTTTGCGATTCAATAATCCCGAACTGTTTGCAAAGTAAATAGAAATGCCTTTTGTACGATATATATGCAAAATATTCGGATCCTCATCAATAAAACGATTTCAATTGATGTTTATTTTAGTTCTAATGAGAAATTCCGTGCTGAATATCCAATTAATCGAACGAATTACGAGTCAAAGTTGAATAAATTCCGACCATAAACATATATGCAAATGTTTCAAAAAGCAATGGAATTTTAATGGTATGCCATTACTCATAGCATTTTATACTGTAATATTGAATTTAAAGGCAACGAGTTCATTCTGGGAATATACAATCGAACATTTTGCACATTAGTTTGGCTGTGAATTCTATTTGGAATTCCTGGCATAATTACACATCAACATTCGTTCTTATCGTCGTTGTTGTAACATTTTACGAATCTTCATTTCATATTTTAATGTGATGAAATCATCATTACGTGCCTAGAGGTTGCGTGTAAAGTGAAATCTAGACTAAAAAAAAATCGCATAAATTGCAAATGTGTGCGCACTTCCAATGATGATGATTGGTACATTTTCAGCAAATGAGATACGCAATCGCATGAAATGGGAAAAGTTTTAATTCGCTTCTAGTGGAAATGCGATAATTTTTCTGGGGGCAATAACAATACCTATATTTCGTTCCATTTTCGTAGAGTGTTTGCCATATAGAATACAATGCTACCATTCATAATCATCTACCGTAAATTAATCCACAATATCATAATTGAAGACGTGCTCAGCATACCTTTAGCTTCGCCAACTGGGATACAGTGCGATATTAAATAATGGTTGCTTGTTTTTTTGTGTTTGCTTCTCGGTGTTCAACACACAAAAAAACGGCGGACCAAAAAAAAACTTTTCCACTTTTTTACGATTGAAACGCCATATTAGCAGCTTTTTGAAAACCGCACAATAAAAGCATCGAGTTTCCGCCAAAACCGCCAGAAAAAGGGCAACCAAATCAACTTCATTTCGGATGCGTGAGAATATCAGAATATTGGAAAAGACCGGCGATTTAATGAAAATGCACAAGTTCGGGTGAGATACATTTTGATTTTTTTCAAAGTTAAATCCCGAGGACGTTGCGACGGGTACGTGCGTGTGTTTTAGTATATTGACTTTGTGGCCGGTTGATGTTTTTCCGTGTGAATCTTTTGGTTTTGACGTAATTGCACCGCACTCTCAACCTGTTGAACTTTGTTCGTTAGTGTCTCGCTGTGGTGTTGGTGGGGCCAAACCGCACCCGTACATAATTACATTCGTTTTCGTTTCCGCCTGTGTATTTCTGTAAATGAGCTGCGGGTTAAGTTACAACAGCTTAATCCAAAAGTTCCGTCCAATGCATTGCGGCATTGTTTGCAAAAGTATATTATTTGTTTGGAAAAAAATAAAGTTGTTGCCAACTGAACCAAACGCGAAACGCCTGTGCCTGTGCCTGTGCCCGTACACTTTGCAATACGAACATCAAAGCGTTTATTGCATTGTCGTTGTTGGTCGCAAGTTTCGTTTAGGCGACATTTGCTTTCATTATGTCGCTTAGCTACTACTGTTGCCTCTTGATTGTAACCATAAGCAACAACTACGTTTCGCACGTTTATTGCAATGATTTTGTGTTAGCCGTTGGAAATTCGTGTGTTTCATGCCGTCGTTTAATAATCTAAAGTTTATTCATTTGTTGCTTAACAACGGGGTTCGCACCGGCTTGATGTGTTCATTCAAAGTTTTGCCCACAGTTACAATTTCACTCACAAAAACATGCACACATGAACTTCGAAATAAAATGTCAAAGTAGTTTTCAGGTTTGAAACATGGAGAGCTTATTTCTCTCTCTCTCTCTCTCTCTCTCTCTCTCTTTCTCTCTTTTGATTGCAATCTCAAGTATACTAGCCAGGACCTAAGGAGAAGTAATTACTAAAATTAAACTTAGTGTTGAAATGTTGTGCGAAACAAAATCGCATTCGATGAAAATAACAACAACGAAAAACACTGTGCTCGGGTGAGTCAAAATAATGAGCATTTTTGTGAGAAATGCTAGCAAGTTCCGTGGATTGGATTTGTTTTCGAGATGGCTTTAATCGATGCCAGCAGTAATTTATGTCGCAAAAATCTGCTACGAATTCAGTACGCACGAAGAGCATTTCAATTTAATCTGAATAATGCCATTTGTAACCCCAATAATTGAGAAATGTTACAAGCGTTTGGTGTGCCTGTGTATACAATTTATGTGTTTGCATGCCAATTCTGTATGCCGAATCCGGTGCGACGCACACACAAACACATGACACCCCAAAATATAAATAAAGTTGCAAATATATTTTCGCCCAGGTGATCTCCGGATGCTAACTCCATAGCAACTCGGTTAGCATTGTAAGCCGTTTTATTTATGTTCTGGGTTGAAACAATTCGATAGCTGAGACAATATGAATATTAAGTGTTGACACATCATCCACAACGTTCGCTTCTGTCTCTATTGCATGAACAATGGGACATATCGTGCCATCTTCTTAATACAAAACAAATGCATCGCCATAAATTTTCGATAAACTTCTCCACCTCATCGTCATGCACGGCTTCTCACTCTCGCTATCGCTGTTGCTGCCTGATGCGGCGACGATGAAGTGTATCTTGGTGCCAAATGTAAACACAAGATGCTTGACAAATTTCCTGTCAATGTTTGGCCTTTTTTGCTCTCGTTCTCTCAAGCGATGATCATCGAACGAAACCACCAACAACAACCAAACGCAATCCATTCATTTGGAAGATTCGGGTTCAGAAAAGGTGAACTCTTTCACATTGAATGAAGCGTATCCGTTCGACAACAATTTCGAGCGTATTCGTATGTAATGTATGTAGTATATGTATGTGGTCAATGCACTGACACCTACAAATATTTGTGCGCTTTTCATTTTTCCCGGGAAAAGAACTTATGCTCCGAACTCTTGCGATGGATTAGCTTTTTTTTGATTTTTCGATGGATCTCTTTTTTATTCATCTGCTTAGTGCAATTTTATTTGCTGCATTTTCGTCTGAAAAAACAGCTTCCTTTCGCCGGGAAAATGGCGAAAGAGCGAGGGGGAGATGAAGTGAAAAAGAAAAAGCTTCTTGATCTAGTGAAAAGGGCGTACATGCTATCAAGACGAATGAAGCTGTGCTGCGGTTGGCATGTTTTCTTTTTTATCGTCGTCGTACATGTACTGTCTTTATCGTTCGGTGTTACGATTTCACAGTGCATTTTTCAATAGAATTTTGACCCGTTTTCATCAACGACTTCAACGGTATTGCTTTCATGTGAATATACTGCAGTGTAATAAAATTGTATGTCTTCATGCACAGTGCACAAAGCACCGATAGAGAGAAATATATACACATACACACAAAAAAAAAAGTGAAATGGCGAAGGAAAGATGCGACAGGAAGCAAAAGCGAAAGCAGGGAGAAAGAGAAATGAGGTTAGCGAAAGAAATATGTGTGATATAATGATGGCAATTCCTCTTCGTATACAAGAATAAAAATGCGAACCGAAAGCCCGCACATTTCATTGCACTGATTTGCATTTGGCTGGGTGCTTTCACCACGCTAAACATGAATCATTGTATACATGATGATTTTGCATGGATGCAAACAGAGAGGCGAAAAATAGGAAGAGAGAAAAAACAACCATATCGTTGCTAAGAAACAAGAGTGGAGAAAGGCGAAGAAGCAGGAAAAAAAACTGCGCGACGTTTGTGCTTTGGATTTCGAGGGATGTTTCAAAATGAGAAGCAAAAGATTCGCAATAGCATGTGCAGTGACTGTGTAAAATATACATTGTTTGCGATGGAAAAGAAGTTTTTATAACTTATTTAAGCTCACTTTTTTTCTACCCTCTCTTGTACATCAGCTTAACCACAAAATCCACGCTGCACTGTACGTTATTATTAAACTCGGTCAACGATTTCGACATGTGATGCATTTTTTGTTCGTTCGTTTTCTCCCACTTCATGTTGTTTGTGTGTGTCGATTTTGCATAGCCAAAGCTATTCATATTTATGCTGAGTTGAGTATGGGGTTGGAGGATGTTTGAAAATCTCTTCATTTTCGTCTTTGTTCTATTCAAAAAGTTTTGGTCTTCGAATGTTATCAAACAGCGGAAAAACATAGCATAGAGAACATTTCAGGAAGTAAAAACGTCTCTTGTGATAGGCAAACCCGCGTTCTCACTCACAACACAGAACATCCAAAACATTCTCGGCGAATTGTGAGGTTTACGTTTAATTAAATGTTGGGAATTTAATAGAAAGATTTCCTTTTAACGCACACACACACACAAAACATGCCAACAATTATTAATGCCCATTTATCTCATTCTCTTTAATGTGCTTCGTCGAATTAACAAAAGCATCGTTTCAAATTCAAGTTGGATATGTTTGCATTGCGTTGAAAACGGCACCACTTTTTGGCAAATTAGACTAGAAGTAGTACGCGTCTCTAAGCGAGAAATGTCCCAAAACAAATGGTATACACACACGCTGGGTTGGTCTTCTCTCTCTTCCAACGAAGACTAACTTCATTTGGATGTTGCATTGTTGCTACTGCTTTCGCCGTTTATATCTACTTCTCGTGTTTGCATCTTAAATGTTATTCACATTGTGTTTGAGTTAGTTCATACGATATGCAACTGAGTTGCATCCATACCGAAACGTGCAGACACATGCAATATTCAATTTCCAGCGAATTTCCCTTTGCCGCTTCGCCATTCCGCAAATGGCGCTTCTTGTGCAAATAAGAAGTTTTCGCTGTACTCATCATCTCTCTCTCTCTCTCGCACTCCCTCGCACTCTCTCGTGTTTGTGATAAATTATTCAAATTATTTTTCTTCTCAGAAAAAGGAAAAAGTTCTCAAC